CCGGCCCGCGGCACATCATGGCAGCGTCCGACACCTGCTTCTACATCAACATCACCAAGGAGGAGAACTCCGCCTTCATCTTCAAGCAGGAGGAGAAGCAGAAGAAGAAGGGCTTTGCGGGGAGAGGCGCCTACGACGGCCCGTCCCGCCTGCCTGTGCACAGCATCATCGCCAGCATGGGTGAGTCGGGGGGCCTCGGCGGGGCCCCCCGGGAGCGAGAGCAGGAGCCTGCACACGCCGGTCCAGCTCCTTCCGCAGCCTTGGTTCTGTTTTGCTTTTTGCAAACTCCTTGCCATGCCCCCACCTGGGTATTGCTGCGAGCCACTGAAAGTCCCGTTCCGTTCCCTGTCCTCGTCGCCTCACCCAAAAAATACACAAAAAACCCACTCTGCTCCTTGTACCCTGGGTGCTCTCAGCAGGCTCAAATATCGTTATTAAAGCTCATGATGTCCATTATCATTAACAGTATTTGCATGAATCCCCCAAGCCCTGGCTGGAAGAATAAATGCCGTTGGCTGCATGCTAAATCACGCTCATGATTCACAACCCGATGAAAAGCGTAGTTTGCTCTGCAGCGAGTGGTGCATTTTTGCAAATAAAATACACCATGAGTCATTACTTCCAGCTTGTATCTGGGGAAAGCGAGTTTTGGGGCTGCCTGGAGAGGCTGCGCTACACGAGCAGATTATATTTTAGGCAAATAATTTATGCATTTGTACTCACGAGCAGCAATTTGCATAGATTATCCCTCAGCAAGCCACAAAGCGCTTTTTGCTGAACAGCATTTGTCAGCGTTCTCGTTACGTGGCTCGTTCCCAGAGGGACCTTCGGCAAAGAGCAACGAGAGGGAGAGAAATGGCGCAAGTGCACGCAGGGCAGCGGTGCCCGGCGAGCCCAGCGCCTGGGCTTTGCCTGCCGGGAAACCCCCCGCGTTCCCGATCGTCTAAAAATCACTGTGTGGCCAAGACTCCAACGAGGACCTCAGCGGGGGGTTCTGATGGGGACTTGGTGGCACTGGTCAATACTCCATAAATATGTTTGATTTTTGGAAGCTGCTGGAGGACAGGATGGGGAGGCGTCTCTTGTCCCTCTTGAAGATCTGGAGCTGGCCGGGAGGGATGCAGGAGGAGGATGAGGGCGTTGCGCTGCCTTGGGGGCTGCCTGCCTGCCTCGCCCTGGGGGCTTGAGGACCACCGGGGCGAAGGGGCGTCCACTGGGAGGGCAGCGTCCCGGCGAGGGGCAGACAGGGTGGCATCAGCTTGTTCCTAACCTGGCTGGTGTTTCGCAGAGCCTGCAAAGGTCTGCAGGTGGGGGTTAGGCTGGTGGGTCATGGTCTCTGAGATACATCGGGATGATAAAAACTACTGTAAAGCCAGGTTTTGCAGGTTCGGTGAGCAGGAGGTGGGCGAGGGGTTCAGCCGGCACCGTCGAGGTGGCCAGAGCTGGGGGACAGAGAGGGTGACAGTCCCTGGGGCCAGCAGCCTGCACCCACCATGGGAGCAGCTGAGCTGAGCCCCCAGGGAGGTGCTCCCCACAGCGATGCCCAGGCGCGGGTCGCTGGTGGGTGCTTTGCCTGCACGCCCCGCGCCCACCAACGGTTTAGCTTCATCTGGGTTGTATTTAACAGGCACGATGCACGGCCCTGCGTGCTCCGCCTCGTCCCCGTGCAGGGCTCAAGGGCGCGACGCTTTGCCGACGCAGATCTCTTCACCTCCTTATAGCATGTTTGCTGTGCTTCCTTCCCCACCGTGTCCAGGTACAGTAGCCATGGACCTGCAAAACACGGAGTGCCGCCCCGCTAACAGCAGCAAGCTGGCGCTGCCGGCGGAGAACGGCTCGACCGGCCCAGCATCGCGCCCGTCCTCGAGCTGGCCGACACCTCGTCCCTGCTGCCCTGCGACCTGCTCAGCGACCAGTCGGAAGATGAGATGACGCAGTCGGACGAGGAGGGGTCGGCGGTTGTGGAGTGAGTCGCCCGCCTTCGGTCGAGCTGTCCCTCGGTTCAGAGAGACGGGGACCGTTGTGAATTTAGAGTGGATTGGCTATTAGATTTAGGTTTAGATTAGGTTTAGATTGGATATTAGGAAAAATTTCTTCACCGAGAGGGTGGTCAGGCATTGGCACAGGCTGCCCAGGGAGGTGGTGGAGTCGCCATCTCTGGAAGTGTTCAAAAAACGTGTGGATGTGGCACTTCAGGACATGGTCTAGGGGACATGGTGACGCTGGATTAATGGTTGGACTTGATGATCTTGAAGGTCCTTTCCAACCTTAGTGATTCTGTGATTCTGTGAATGCCGGGCGTTCAGTGGTGCCTGAGGGATGCTCAGGCTCAGCCCCTCGGCTGTTGCATGAGCGCTGCACCGTCTGTAACACGGGCAGTCACCGCTTGGCCGCACGCCTTTTGGGCGGCTTTGGAGAAGTCTCCCCTGGGTGTCAGCAAAGTTGCACCAAGGCAGACGCTGCTGGGGCTGGGCAGGGTCGTTCCGCCAGTCCTCTTGCCTCCCTTCGCTCTCTGATGTGAAGGGGATCCTGTCCCCATTGCACATACATAAATAAAAACCACAAAATATTTACTGCAGCTTTAAAGCCGTTGGTTTATGACAGCCGGATAAGCACTTGCTTTGCTGGTTACATGTTTGGGTGCTGTCACAGCGATGTGGGGAGTTGACCAAGTATCTGCAAACTCTCGCCAGTTGGCTTTTAATTCATGTCCACTTCTAACTGGCTTTAAATGAAGTTTCTGCTTCTGGTTCTATTGAAAACACAAATGGTGATTTTTTAAAAACTTTGTTCCTCAAAATGGACTCTAAAAACGGACCATGATTTTTTTTGCTTCTTTATAAGGCTCAGCATCACCCTCCCCTCCTGGAGCTCTCTGCCCTGTCCCCCTTCAGCTGCACTCGATGGTCCTGTCTGCTGCCTTCTCCGCCCACGCTGGGAACACTGCATATTTACAATCTCATGGCTCTTTGCATAGCAAAAGAGATTCTTGAATATGTGTATTTTGTAAAATTTCCAACTGCTGTGGGAGAGTTTTGCAAAGCGTTTGCCAGTGATGTGCTTGAGCCCTGGGTCTGCTGCTCTTAAACTTTTTTCCTCAGTGTCTGAGTGTCGTATACATGGAACGTATACGTGGAACGCTCTCCCCACGTCCTCACACTGCTGGGTTTTCTCTCGGCTGCAGGTACGTGAAGGGCTACCCTCCGAACTCTCCCTACATTGGGAGCTCCCCAACGCTGTGCCACCTTTTACCCGAGAAAGCCCCTTTCTGCTGCCTGCGGCTGGACAAGGTGCGGTGGGGCTGCAGGCAGCTGCCTGGGGGCGCCCCCCCGGGAGTGGGATGGCGGGTGGGCGGCCGAGAGCCACGCTCTGAATCCCTGCACTGCCTTCCACGCACAGGGCTGCAAGCACAACAGCTTTGAAGATGCCAAAGCGTACGGGTTTAAGAACAAACTGATTATTGTTTCGGCGGAGACGGCTGGGAACGGACTGTATAACTTCATCGTTCCCCTTCGTGCGTACTATCGCTCCCGCAAAGAGCTGAACCCAATCGTGTTGCTGCTGGACAACAAGCAAGTAGTTTTCCGTGGATGTTTTGCATCACACCGAGCCCTCCCTGTGTTTTCACAGGCGTCTCATCCCGTGGGGCTGGGAGCGTGGGGGAATGGCAGTGACACTGTTGGGTGCCTCAGCTGATGTTGGCCCTGGGGACTCCTGTGTGGGTTTTGTGTCTGTCTTTGCCCCATGGATTTGCTGAACCACCTTGTTCTCTGTTGCTCTTCCTCCAGGCCCGAGCACCACTTTCTGGAAGCCATCTGTTGTTTTCCCATGGTTTACTACATGGAGGGCACAATCGACAAGTAGGTGTTTCCGTGTGTGGCTGTTGTTACGTACAGTGCTGCCTAAATGTGCTGCATTTACCCCAGCCCAGACTTTTGGGTCATCCCATGAGAAAACCCAGGGTTGGTACCATAGAGCTGAGCCCACCCTTGACTTCTTGGGTTGTCCAACTCCCCCTGGTAGGCGGGAGCGGGTGAAGAGCTGGTGGTTGGGAGCAGCCTGGGCTTGCCGTAGCGCTGCGCGTCGCAGCGTGCTGCTTCCCTGTGTCGTTTCCAAGGGCTGACCCTGCGCTCTTCTCTTTGGGAACTGCCCAGCCTGGACAGCTTGCTGCAGTGCGGCATCATCTACGCCGACAACCTGGTGGTCGTGGACAAGGAGAGCACGATGAGCGCCGAGGAGGACTACATGGCGGATGCAAAGACGATTGTCAATGTCCAGACCATGTTCAGGTGAGGGGTGACCGCTGCCCCGGCTCCATCACAGCTGCTTAGGTCTGCTGGAGACAAGACTGGGAAGGGCAGAGGTGGCTGGGGTGGTGGCTTCGGGCAGTGGGACACATCTGCACTTGGGCTCACTCTAGGAAACCGCATCTAATCAGCTATTTCTGACCTCAGACAGGCACAGGATGGTTTTGGCCTTCCTCAGGCTTTAAGTGCAGGGAGTGCTCTCACTTCTGCATGAGCTGCAGGACAACAGGTCTCTTTCCACTGCAGGCTCTTCCCCAGCCTCAGCATTATCACGGAGCTGACCCACCCCTCCAACATGAGGTTCATGCAGTTCAGAGCAAAGGACAGTTACTCTCTTGCTCTTTCCAAGCTAGAAAAGGTAAGAGGAAGGTCTTCCCCTGCACGCAGGGCCTGGGAAGTCAGCGCTGAGAGTGACTGCATTTGAGCTCCTCAAGGTCCCGTGCTCTTCTGCACGCCGCAGCTGCCATAGCTAGTGTGCACCTCCCCGAGATAACCTGCAGCAAAGAAGTGAGCAGTTGGTCTCTGGACTAGCTACCTCCTTCTACATACTTAGGTATTTATTTGGTGGCTGGAGGTTGTGCTGCTTTGCCTGCTGCTGTGCTGGGCACACTGGATCTCTGAAGGAGGTTTAATGCTGTGACTGCAGTAAGGGGGGCAGGGGCGTCACTGTGCTGAGACAGATTTCTGACAAGGGAGGAAATACCCCTGAACCAGACACTGGGGCGTGTGAAAGGGCCGCATCCAGCCCTTGTCAAAAAAACCCAGCTGTGTCTCACACATTTCCACTGAGAAGAAACCCTCTTTCACCCAGGGTAAGGATACTGCCCTGGTTCTCTCCTGGCACACCCAGGAGTGTGATGGTGTCCTCCATTTTCACGACTCTTCTAGTTTCTGTGCAACCCGTGTGCAGGGGAGGCTGCGTAGTTTTGCTTTGCTAAATGCCCTGGAACGACCTGAACAAGCCCCTGCCAACGGTGTTTGCCTGTGGGTACTCACGTCTCCCCTTCCTCTTCCAGAAAGAGCGAGAGAACGGCTCCAACCTGGCCTTCATGTTCCGGCTGCCCTTCGCGGCCGGGAGGGTCTTCAGCATCAGCATGCTGGACACACTGCTCTACCAGGTGAGCTCATGCACCGCTGCAGCTGCGGCTGCCCCTTTGCATCTCCCGATGAATAACTGAGCTAGCCTTTTCTCCGGCTCCCTGCCCAAATGTCTCCCCCCAGTCGTTTGTGAAGGACTACATGATCACCATCACGCGGCTGCTGCTGGGTCTCGACACCACGCCAGGCTCCGGCTACCTCTGTGCGGTAGGTGCCAAGTCCCTCTGGGTTGAAGCCATTGGGCCAAGTCGTTGTGGATCTGGTGGGATCTGTCACCCAATGCGTGGGAGTGGAGGGTTCCCCTCTTCTGGGGAATGGGAGAGGAGACAACATTGGGCAGAACATGCCAGGTCATCACTCCTCTCCATGCTGTGTGGGGAACCTCAGCGCTATGAAGAACCCAAAAGCCCAAGAGCTACCAAGGCCCAAAGTCCCCATTCTGAAGGCTGGGGTCGGAAATTACCCCTGGTCCTTTTTGTGGAGGCCAGCTCACTTTGGGGCCTGACATGCCTGAGCTGGGGGGAGGCTCAGGAGCAGCTCCGAGGTGCTCCTCAGCGGGCTCTGCACAGCGCAGGGCAGTTGATGTTTGTCCTCTGCTGCTCAGATGAAGATCACTGAAGACGACCTGTGGATCCGGACATACGGCCGCCTCTTCCAGAAGCTCTGCTCCTCTAGCGCGGAGATTCCCATCGGGATTTATAGGACGGAGTCGCACATGTTCGCAACCTCCGAGGTAGGGGCACGGTGGTGGTGTGTGCCACGAAGGTGGTCCCAGCAGAGGTGTGGTCCCAGCAGAGGTGTGGTCCCTGAGGCTGGTCGGGTCCGTGAGGCTCCTCAGACCTGGTTGCGGCAGCGGTGGGGAGGAGCGAGGGGAGGGGAAGCTCTGCCTTCGCTTCGTTAGCGGCCCCGCGTCTGCGTGATGGTGGTGGTGTCCTGGTTCCCGGCCGGGTAAGCTGGGTCGGTGTAAACGCCCATCTCTCCGGGCAGCAGCCTGGCTGCGGGCAGGCGGGGGGATTTCCTCGGCACAGCTCTGCCGTGCCGCGTGGCACCGAGTCCCTGGGGAGCAGGGGGGATGTGGCACAGCAGGGCTGCCCGCTTGCTTGGCTGACACTTCATTTTTCCTTCCTTTTCC